CTCAGATCCTCGCTCGAGCGTGAATTCTCTGGCTCGAGCAGACTGTAAAACATATGAACTTTTGGGCATATGCATTTCACGCTCGAGCGTGACTTTCCACGCTCGAGCGTGACTTTCCACGCTCGAGTGGAAGTGCATGTACTCAGAGTGTACGCTCGAGCGTGAAGTCCCTCGCTCGAGCGTAGATCCAAAATCTGGAATTTTCATATTGATCCTCAAGCACAAAGTTCAACTTCTAAAGCTTCAAACTCGATTCTTTTGGGCTAAATTCCTGGAAAACACTTGAAGACTCATAGTACAACATGTTTCAAAGATCAATTTATGAGATCAAGCCCAAAAGGAAACCAATTGAACACAAAATTAAGTGCAAATACGAAGAATAATGCAAAATCATACATGCATGAGTTTTCAAGAGCTCTAGTGTTCCAAAACAAGATCGAATGCAATGTTGAGCTCAAAATCATGGTGAATTCATGGACCTCTACCAAAATATGAGCATGCATGAGGAAATTCTCGTAAAACAACCTCAAAATTCAAGAATATGTACATGCATGCATGAATTAGCTCACAATTCAACTTCTTCAAATTAATTCTTGACTTTAAACTCCAAATCTCCATGAACCATGCAAGAAACAACTAAATTTCATAATGAAGAAGGTGAATTCCTACCTTAGGTCTTGAATTCTAGATATGGAAGCCTAATCTTCAAGTCTCCTTCAATTTCTTCTAAGCTTCAAACCAAACTTTGTTGAACTAATTCTTCTCTTCCAATTCTCTCACTCTCACACGTTTTGCTTCAGGAAATAGGTGAACAAATGATGACTCAAATGTATAAACTAAGTCCTCAAACAATGACCCTAAGGTGGCCCACTCAATGGCATAATGGTAGTAAATGCAAACTAATGTAATTTAACTTCATTTAATCTAATTTAATCATTCCAAATTGAATTTTAATTAAACCTACCATAAAATCACATAATTCTAATTAGCATAAAACACTAATCAATTTCTGGTTCGGTCACCGATAAGACCTTCAATCCGCAGTTCAAAGGTAAAACATGAACAGATTCATTCAGAAATCAAACAGATAGAAATGCATTCAAAACAATACACTCATACAATCAGTTCAGAATTTCGTTCTTATCAGTTACTTATCATGCTTAATCATAGATTAGCATTAATCAGAGGTGAGGGTTGTCACACACCAGTACCGTTGGCTGCCACAACTGCCACCACCCATCACCACAACACTACCTTACCACCACCACACTAAGGCTATAACAATCTACTACCATCATCCTACTATCACCACCACCGATGCCGCTGCTGCCACCACTATTATAATTCACACCATTACTTTTCACAACTATCAATATTATCATGATCAATATAAATTTTTAATTTATTTGTTACTAACTTGTTAAAAAATAAATAAATAAATAATAATAACTTATTACATTCTATGAGTTTAATAGATATAACCAAACATAAGAATGAGAATTATCATCCTACTCCTATGTCATTCCATGTTGGCAACCAAACAATGAAATGAGAATTGACATTACATCCCATTAAATCTTATATTCCATTATCACTATTAATTTATTTCCATTTCATTTCATTTCATCATATTAAACATGCTCCTAGTGCATAAAAAATTGTTAAGTTTATTTTATTTTACATACATACACATATATATATGTGTGAATTAAACTCAACTAATAAATATTGTAAAATGTTATTAATTTATATTTATATATATATATACATATATGACACATCTATATATCTCTTCTTTTTTTTAATCCATAATAGAAATTACCTTTCATGGGCGTCATGCATTAAAATGTCATTTGATAACATTATTAGTTTCTTATTTTTCTATTTAAAAAATAATAATATATAAGTTTTTCAGTTTTTATTTTCTGTAAAAAAAACTCTATAAAAAAAACTTGTTTAGTATATAAAAATATTTTTAAAATAAAATAAATTAATATATTTTTTGAGTTGCCAAAGGTGGTGGTAGGTCACGAAGGGTAGACATGTGATAACCAATAGTGAAGGTGATCGGAATGTCATTAGAGTATTTGATGGTTGGAAGATTGTCAAAATGTGGCTAGAGATTACATGCATTGACAGGAGCTCGTTAGAGATCACGGGCAGTTGGTGATGCTAAAAGTTCGTAGTGGTAGTGGATGGTGGCCAAAGATAATTAGAGAGAAAGAGAGATAGAGAGTGAGAACCTATTTTTATTTTTATTTTTTTCAACTCAAGTGTGGGAACCTATTTGAAAACAAGAAATCACACATTTTTTTTGAAAAGATTTTTTAAAACAAGTTAACAACTTGTCCTAACAACCCCCCCCCACCCCAAAAAAAAAATTAAAAAAATGCTTGACAAAGGCCCTGGGCCTAGGGTCTTGTTTTCACATTGGGCCCGTGGCCCCAAAATGCCTGGGCTGTCATCAGTTTTCTGCCTGGCTCTCTGGCACTCCATTTGCCTCTATCACTCATGGCACTCTGGACTTTTTCAGTGTTTTTTTTTAAATTTTAATTTAATTTTTTTTTATAAAAATGATGATAAAATGTTTGAGAAATTATTAAAAAAATATTTTTTTAAGTAAAAAAAAGAAAATAAAAAGAAACTGTTATGATAGTTGACTTTTTTAAAATATGACAAATGAGTTTGTGACTTTTTAACTTTTCAGTCCCGATTCAGACCTCTAATTTAGAGGCTCTAAAAGAAGCTTTAAACATGTGGCACCCAACCAGGGATGATGAAGGATAGTTGCACATATAGTGCGTGTGTTTCACGCACTGTGTTAAGAAAAAAAAAATTGAAATCCCGCGCAAATGAGGCTTACATCGGTAAAACAGAGGTATTGCAACTCTATTCCAAATCTATCTCTTCTCCGCCGTCCGTCGCCTCCACCGTAAGGCGTCTTGTCCCTCATCCACCGTCCGGTGTTCACTGTCTCCCTCTCCGTCTCTGTCTTGTTCTCCCGCTTAGGTTTCCCTCTCTCGCGTTGAAAGCATTTGCAGATCTATCTGCTACCTCTCATCCACCGTCCGTCGTCTTCTCCGTCTCCAATCTTCGTCCCTCTGTCGCTGTGAAAGCATCACCAGATCAATGATGCTCTACTCTAAACATGTAATCGATCAGTGATGTTGTCCTCTATATACGTTTATATATGTAATTTTTTTAATCAGTGATGCTGGATTGATATGTATATATATATATATATATATATATAGATAGGCAAATTTCTGAGAATGAATTGATAAATTGAAAATGATTACATAAACTCGAATTGGAGCATACTTTGTATAAACATTTCAAATAAACATTTGAGCATAAATTGGAATTTGGCTCTCAAAATATATATACATAAAATGGAATGATGAATTGATAAATTTATAAATGTAGAAGTGAATGCTGAATCAGTGAGTGTTGAATCCATTATACTAGAATTGATAAATTTACATATACTAGAACATTCAGAAAAGCTACTACAAAGCATAAATGATGGAATGATGAATGATGAATTTATAACTCTGTAAATAGAATATGGAATGATGAATTTATAACTCTGTAAATAGAATATGGAATGATGAATAATGAATTTATAAATTTATAGTTAATCATATTGATGAATATTTTGATATGTTTGACTGCAATTGCTTTTTGATTGCAGTTTAAAATTTGAATGAGCAGAAATGGAGATTCAATCAAATAGTGGTGAGAATCCTTCAGCTTTTGATAGTAAAGAAATTGAGGAACCTAAGAGGGGTATGTATTTTAGCTTAAAGCAAGAAGTGTATACATTTTATGCCAAATATGCTAAACATGTTGGATTTTCTATAGCTTCTAAAACACAAGTTTTTGGCGATAATGGGGAATTAAGATACTTTGGGATTGAATGTTCTCGATTGGGGAAGAGAATAAAAAAATCAGAAGTAAACCCTCTAAAGCCATCTCTTTCCAAAAAAATTGATTGTAAAGCAAGGGTACGAGCGAGCCTACAAAAGGATGGGAGATTTATGTTAACCACAGTTAACCTTGACCATAATCATGACTTGATTCCCACCGACTCACGTCATTTTGCAATTAATGATCAAGCAGGAATTGGGGTGTTTAGAAATTATCACTCAATGGTTGTTGAAGCTGGGGGTTATGAGTCATTAACATTTGATGAGCGAGATGCATGAAATTACATTGATAGAGCTAGAAAGTTAAGGCTTCGAGAAGGAGATTCCGATGCACTTCAAAAATATTTTTTGAGGATGCATGCACAAAATTTGAGTTTCTATTATATGATTGATGTTGATACTGACTTTCGCATAAGAAACTTGTTTTGGGCGGATGCAATGAGTCGGGGGGCTTATAAAGAATTTGGAGATGTTTTTTCATTTGACACAACTTACCTCACTAATAAATATGATATGTCATTTGCTCCGTTTGTAGGAGTTAACCACCATGGACAATCGATTTTGCTTGGTTGTGGCCTATTATCTAGTTAAGACACTGATACATTTGTTTGGCTATTCAAATCGTGGTTAAATTGCATGTTAGATCATCCTCCAAAAGCTATAATAACTTATCAGTGCAAAGCTATGCAAAAGGCTATAAAAATAGTCTTCCCCAATACTCGACATCAATGGTGTTTATAGCATATCATGAAGAAGATTCCGGAGAAGTTAAAAGAGTATTCCCAATATGAATCCATGAAGATGGATTTGCAAAATGCAGTATATGACACTTTCACAAAAGATAAATTTGAGACGAAATGGAAAGAGATGATTGCAAAATTCAATCTTTATGAGAATCAGTGGTTAGGGGTGTTATATAATGAGTGACATCGATGGGTTCCTGTCTATGTCAAAGATATTTTTTGGGCTGGCATGTCAATGACACAACGAAGTGAGAGCATGAATGCCTTTTTTGATGGATATGTCAACCCAAAGACTACATTAAAATAATTTGTTGAACAATATGACAATGCCTTGAGAAGTAAGGTAGAGAAAGAGAAGAAAGCTGACTTCAAGTCTCGACACAAAGTTTTTGATTGCCTAACTGTGTATGGTTTTGAGAAACAATTTCAGGATGCGTACACCAATGCAAAATTCAAAGAAGTTCAAGCAGAGATGAAGAGACTAGTTTATTGTCAGCCGTTTCTTGCCGAAAAAGAGGATTCAATTTGTACATATTTTGTGAAGGAAGCCATGGCAGTTTTTGGAAAAATGAAACATGTGGACTTTGTTGTCTATTATAATTCGACATAATTTGATGTGCAATGTATGTGCCGGTTGTTTGAATTTAGGGGCATCATGTGTGCTCACTCACTCATTGTGCTCATTGCAAGATGCATAAATGAGGTTCCAAATAAATACATTCTACCACGATGGAGAAAAGATTTGGATAAAGGATACACATGCATAAAAACCACATACACTGGCTTTGGGGATGATTTCAATGCAAAGGTGTATGATAAGATGAACAGAAAATTGATTGGCATTGTACAATTTGCTAGAAAAACTGAAGGGAAAATAAAACTTATTGACCATGGGTTGGATGAAATCAAGGCAAAAGTGATGAAAGATGATGAAGGTGGTGGGAGTAATGTAGCACCTTCGACTAGTAATGTACGACCTATTACTAGTAATGTCCCATATTCCCCGATTGGCAGCATTAATAGAAAGGTAATCAGTCATACCAAGTTGCTTAGTCCTTTGGTTGCTCGCCAAAAAGGTCGTCCAGTTACTAAAAGAAAGGTCGCCAAAGTAGATCAAATAGTCAATCAGTTGAAGGCAAGCAAAAGAAAACACAACAAATCAAAGGTAAATTGATTGGTATTCATACATATCCATCCGTTTTGTGTCATTACTCTCTATTCAACTCATATTTTATTGTAAACATGTCATACATTTGAGGCATTCATTAACCTTTATCAATATAGGGTACTAAGGTGCTTAGAGGTGAAGGTGAAGGTTAATGTCAATCTCAACCTGAACGTATTTCACGTAGAGAGCTTTATCCTTATATGGTTGGCATGGAAAATAGTATGTGTGTGCCGGTACGTGTACATCGAGCAAACTGTTTTTCAATAATGTTTAGTAAACTGGTTTTAACATTTTATTTTAATTGAATAGGGGCACATGGTCAATGCTATTGGAGGCACATCTCTCACCCCGGCAAGTATGGACATTATGAGAAGACAAAGTTTCATGAATGCCCCAACTCAAATTTATGCAGTCGGCACATCTCTGACCCCGTCGGACTGTATTGGAGGCACACCGGGATTCATAACAACTCAACAATCCATGATTTCTATGCATCAAATTTATGGAGCCGTACCGTCTTCATTTGTTGACTTGAATGTACAAATGGACCGCAATGACCGTGGTGGTAGTTTTCGTTAGTTGGAAACTTGTAATTGTAATGCCTTTTATGTGACTAAACTTGGAGTTTATTTTTTTTTGGATAATTTATTTAATATATTTTTAGATTGTTTAGTTTCTTTATTTTTTGGTTGAGAACAAATTGATGTTGTTCCCTACTTTGTTGTTATATTTAATGTTCTTAATTGATGTTGTTATATTTGTGCTTGTTTGTTACAAATCTGTTACAGATTTAATGTGTTCCAAAAAATCTATGTCAAAAATGTGTTACAAATCTATGTGAAGAATCTATTACAAATTTGTTAAAAAATTATATCTGCAAATCTTTCTTCAAAAACCTGTGTGGAAAAATCTGTCTTCAAAACTGTGTGAAAAAAAACCTGTCTTCGAATCTGTCTTGAAAAACCTATATGAAAAAATTATGTCTTCAAAGCTGTGTGAAAAACCAGTGTTCAAAAAATCTGTCTTCAAAAACCTGTGTGGAAAAATTTGTCTTCAAAACTGTGTGAAAAAACCTGTCTTCGAATTTGTCTTGAAAAACCTGTGTGAAAAAATTATATCTTCAAAACTGTGTGAAAAACCAGTGTTCAAAAAGACAAATAGATAAACAGAATCTGTGTTGAAAATCTGTCCAAATCTGTCAAAAATGTGTCAAGAAATTGTGCTCACAATCTGTCAACAATATCTGTTCAAAATCTGTCAATAATTTAAGTTCAACTAGACAAATTGATAAGCAGAATCTGTGTTCCAAATCAGTCCAAAATCTGTCCAAATATGTGAAGAAATTGTGTTCATAATATGTGTTCAAACAGACAAACAGATAACTTTCAAAGTTCCAATAAGATAACAAACAATCCACATGATTACATACTCATACTTCTCAATCAATAACTGTAATATATAATAAATCTTCATACATATCATCTTCATAATTAATACTACACCAATTACATCATCTAACTTGCATAAAAATTATTACATCTTCATAATTAATATAACACCAATTACAAGCAAGATGAAGATCCCATTAATACAACACGAATTTCTATTTAAGTCTCTTTGCAATTTTTACATCTGCGCGTTTTGAAATTGAAGTTGTTCGCTTTGAAATCGAAGATGATTGCCCATACTTTGAAGTTATTCGGTGACAGTTGGTGTATTGTCCATTCCTACTTGCCCTTCATCCCTACGTTGTGAATTTGTAAGCAAGTACCATCCAATAAACCCACCGCAATCATGACAACAATAAAATAACTTATTCTTGTTTCGCTCCGTCTCCGAAATTCGAATGGTTATTTTTTCCCGACATTGAGGACAATTTCTATTGCAGTATGTCAATTGATCTGATGTACTACCGTTAACACTTAAAGTTGACATCTGCAAAAATATGAAGCCAAATCTCAATCAGTTAGTGTATTAGTCTTAGGACGGTTTAACTTGCTAGAAACAATGGTGGTTCCTTGAAGGCTAGGGGTGGCCACTGATAGCTCTAATTGATAGCTCATTCAGGTTGTATTAGTCTTAGGACTGTTTAGTTGTGGAAGTTCTCATTCAGGTTTTGGGTGTACTGATAGCTCTAATGATTACTTAATCAAGTAAATCAGTGTCAAATGGAAGCAAACAAGATTGAAATCATTCAACAACAAATGGTTTCTGTCTTCAAAAGCAAAACAACTCAGTTCAAATACCAGAATATTGAACATCTGATATAATAGCATCATGATAACTAGTAGCCTGACTAATGAAATTTGAATCACCAACACTTTGCTGGAGAATATGAAGCAAAAACAATAATTGAAATTTGATGTTATCATTCTAATATTCAATGGGACATCTTCCTCAATTTCTAGTGTCATTTAGATGTTATCATTCTAATATTTCATGTTCTACAGGTAGTTATCTTCCCAGATTGAATGCGACAAAAGTATTCATCAACTCTATTCACTTGTTTCATGTGGGGAACAATAAGGTATGAAACTTTTGTAAATGATGGATTAAAAGGCTAAAGAAATATATTATTTTCAAGCACGGTACATTATTTGTGGCTGTGCTCTGAATTTTTATTCAACAAAGTCGCCTACGAGAGAATCCACGCATAAGTCATTAATCTTTGTCAAAGTATGATTTATAAGTTTAAGCTGTTTATCGACTTTTTGTTTAAGAATCAGAAAATAACTAGTTGTAAAATTGATTCTTAAAAATGTTAAATGTAAACATTTATACATGAATTTGGTTCCTTGCTTTGAAAGAAAAGAAATAGAAAACAAAAGAAGAGAAGAGAAGGGGAAGGTATGACCTTTATCACAATTTGTTCACAAAGAGGAATATCGAAGAGAAATGGGGGAATGAAAAAGGATGAAACCAGAGGTCGTCCTCTAATTATATTTTCACTTGTGGTCTAGATTGTTTCCAATTCATTTAAGGTAGAGTTTCATCTTTTATATCAGAAAATAATCAAATCAATCAATTGAGTTAAGAGAGAAAAACTAATTCAGGTAGTTTTTTTAAAAATGGACAAAATTACATATCAATGGTAACTTTTAAATAGCTACAAATTCTAAAGGATAATTACAAAGGGCTACAGAATCATAATTTCACATCAATGCAGGTACTCATTGTGACTGTGCTCTGAATATTTTCATTCAACAAATCAATGGTAAACCTTTTGTAACAAATTACACTACAGTGGACACAGGACATAGGATGCCAAAATTCATTACTATCAGCTCAGTGTCCAACAAAATACTCAGTGTCCACAAACAAACATGATGAAAAGAAAGATTTGGCCAGTTGGCTTTTGAAGGATGATTACCGTTTTTATATATTCTCCCACAAATTGTATATTTTAGATTTTTTTTTAGGCAAATCCAATGTAAATGTAAAATTGAGGCAAAATCAAAATCAAAATCGTCCTAAACAGATGAACTCAAGTCGAAGTCACAAATCAGGACATATAGATATAGATATATAACATAGATGTAAGATATATTACATGATATAAATCAAGGCATGAAATCAAAGTCAAAAAATCTCAACAAATTTAGGGCGATTACAGATATAGATATATACATATATATATATAGAGAGAGAGAGAGGCAGGAAAGAGAAAGGGGGGAAACTAACCTCTACAGACAGATCTATGAAGACGAAGTCGTGCATCACTTGATCGTGTCGGTCGTCGTGAGCAAGCTGCCTCGTCGGGTCGCGGGGTGTAAAAAGGCTTCGTTACCTCGATCGTTACCGGGGTTGTGAATACGCTCGTCGTCTCACGTGATGGGCAGAGTTTGCGCTCGTCGCGGGAAGCTTGTCGCACAGAGAGGCACAACAGAGAAGAGAAGGAAGAAATTGAGGAGGGAGAGTCTTTCAAGTTTTTTTTGTGACAACTGAATTTGAATTTGAATTGAAGATGAACAAGAAAAGAGAGAGAAAGGGAGCGAGTTTGCTTCAATTTTTTCACGTTGCAGCCACATCATGTTGTCTAATTTAGTGAATGAAGTTTAGAGGTCGGAAGCATTTTGTGTTAACTTTTTTAAAGTAAAATGCTTAACTTTTTAGTGCTATGATAGACACCCTCAATTGTTCATTCATTTTCTTGATTGGTCATAACATTCTCTTTATGTATCCAATCTAGTGTTTGTTTTTAATTAAGATGAATTAGAATATATAGTTTTTATTATATTCATTAATAGACAGACTATTTCTTAATAAGATAATGATTAAGGTAATAATACATTTTTTAAGAATCAGATGTAATAATATCCATTATTAGTGAAATTGATCACCTATTTGCTTCATTGCTTAGTTGTATCAAATTATAAAACATAATTTAATATATTTTGATTGTCTTTAAACACTTTTATTCTTTCTTTTTTTTCTGTCTTTTTTTTTTAGGTAATTACAATCCATTATTATTGAGTTTTGTTTGGTGTCAAACATTTTAGTTAAAAAGTCATAAAAATGGGAAACAATCTGAGAGTGGTGATTAGAAAAATAATAAAATTAATAACAAAGAGGTGAAATACATTGTAAAATTAATAATTAAAATTTGTTAAATTTTTTATTAATTATTTGTATTATTTTACGATTGACACAATGTCAAGTGTAATTGTCCCTAAAAAGTCAAAAAATCTTTATTTATTCTCTCTATATTTTACATATTTTTCATAAAAAGTTTGAAAAATTACATTATCACACATCATCTTATACTTTTACATTCATATTTTAGCCATAAATTCACTAAAAAGTCACCTTCCCAAATCAACCCTAATTTAGCCAAAAAGCTAAAAAGTTAAAAAATCATATCTAAACTATACAAAGATTTCTTTTAATTTCTTTACGCCCCATTTGCTGTTTCGGCGAAAAAACATTTTAAAAACAATTTCACAGAAAACTTCTTGAAAACTAGAAAATATTTTCAGAAAACTACTTCTTATGATTATGGCTGCATTCTTGAAATTAATTTACTAGACCGATTTGCATTAATAGTGGTGGTAGTGGCGAGCAGTAGGAATGAGCGTGAAAGTGAAGGTGTTGGAGGCGGTGGCATGGCAAAGTGAATGGTGGTGATTGTGGTGGTGATGACGGTAGTGATTGGCAGGTGTTTGGTTGGTGGTTATAGAGCATGGAAGGTGTGGCGGCGACGGTTGGTGATGGTTGGTTGGTGGTGGTGGTTGTGGTGAAAGTGATGGTAGTAGTGGCAAGTATGTGGTGGCATGATAAAATATTATAGTTCGAAAAATGTTTTCTACCTTTTAAATATTGAAAAATACTTTTCCACCAAAATTAAATTTATTTTCCATTGACCAATATAAAATGTTTTTGTTAACTTTATTTCTTGT